GTACACAAGTTCCATAGCAGCATTATTCATGATAGTCAAAGTTGGAAACAACCCAACTGATGAAGAGATATATCAAGTGATGAAGGGATAAACAAAATATGGTGTGTTCATATAAAGAATATTATTCATTCATAAAAGTAAATGATGTACTGATACACGTTGCAACATGAATGAACTGTGAAAACATGCTAAGTGAGAGAAGCCAGTCACAAAAGACCACATAGTGTCTGATATCATTTATATGAAATGTCCAGAGTAGGTTAAGTCCATAGAGACAGAAAGTAGACAAGGGCTGCCTCTGCCTCTGCCTCTGCCTAGGAGCTGGAAATTCCCTTGAAGGGGAATGGGAGTGACTGCTAAAGGATGTGGGGTTTCTTTTGTGATGATGAAAGTATTCTGAAATTAGATGGTGATGATTACATACCTTTACGAATACACCCAAAACCCCTGAATTGTATACTTTAATTGGGTGACTTTTACTGTGTGTAAATTATTGCCCTAAAGCAGTGGTCGGCAAACTGCAGCTTGGCAAACCACGGCTCGCGAGCCACATGCGGCTCTTTGGCCCCTTCAGTGTGGCTCTTCCACAAAATACCGACTTCTGTGCATGGGCCACGAAGTTTCAATCGCATTGTACGTGTGCGCCTGCATGTGGTATTTTTGTGGAAGAATCACACTGAAGGGGCCAAAGAGCCGCATGTGGCTCGCGAGCCGCGGTTTGCCGACCACGGCCCTAAAGCATTGCTCAAGTGAGTAACGTGGTCAACCCTGTCAATCTTTATTGCCCTACATGAGATTTTATGTGGGGTTGGAACAACCATCTCTTTCAAAGCAGGTGTTTGATTGAGAGGGGAATCTCCCCTTCCCTAACATCATATCACAAGCTAACGTTTGAGATTATTGAAAAAAGGACTGAAACCAGTGTGGTAGCACCTTAATGTTCTTCACTATGGTTTTCCTCAGAGCAGTAGTTCTCAACCTTGGCAGCACACTGGAATGAACTCAGCAGTTTTAACAATACCAATGCCTGGGACCCACCTCCAGAGATTCTGGTTTACTGTACTTGGTTTGAGGTGAGGCCTGGGGTTTGGAATTTTAAAAGCGCCTCTTGTGATTCTAATGCGCAGACAAGGTTGAGAGGCACTACTGTGGAAAAAAATAAGTAGCAGAATAACTGACTAGTTTATTGGTCCCTTGGTGCTTTGAAATTTCCACTTACTGCTCATTTTTAAAAGCTTAAAAGCCCAGACAAGTGATGTTGTCAAGTGCCTAGAACAGCTAAGTTATTCTAAGTGGTAGTATTTAGGTTACTATTTTTGTTAGTAATGTTAAACTTCCAAGAACCATGTCTCAATGATTGATATAATAGGTGATTTGGGAAAATAGAACAACACTGCAGCCACCATAAAAAATATCAAGTTTAACAAAAGTAAACAATCACATATAAATAACTCAAAATCAATGTGGCTGAGATAAACTGTTTAATTGAATTGGATTAAGTATATTTCATATATGTAACGTAATTTAATGGAACTTTAGCCAAAATGAGTTGTTCTTTAAGAACAATTTAAAAGCCATCTTTAAGCCCGGTCAGTGTGGTTCAGTGGTTGAGGGACAACCTATGAACCAGAAGATCACAGTTTGATTCCCGGTCAGGGCACATGCCCAGGTTGTGGGCTCAATCTCCAGTGTGGGGCGTGCTAGAGGCAACTGATCAATGACTCTCTCTCATCATTGATGTTCCTATCTCTCTCTCCCTCTCCCTTCCTCTCCAAAATCAATAAAAATATATTTTTTAAAAAATAAATAAAAGCCATCTTTAAGACTGTAATGATTTTTTTTAATTAAATCTTTATTGTTCAGATTATTACATTTGTTCCTCTTTTTTCCCCCCCATAACTCCCCTCCTCCCAGTTCCCGCCCCACCCTCCGCCCTCACTCCCCACCCACTGTCCTCATCCATAGGTGCACGATTTTTGTCCAGTCTCTTCCCGCATCTCCCACACCCCTTTCCCCCCCAAGAATAGTCAGTCCATTCCCTTTCTATGTCCCTGATTCTATTATAATCACCAGTTCATTCTGTTCATCAGATTATTTATTCACTTGATTCTTAGATTCACTTGTTGATAGATGCATATTTGTTGTCATAATTTGTATCTTTACCTTTTTCTTCCTCTTCCTCTTCTTAAAGGATACCTTTCAGCATTTCATATAATCCTGGTTTGGTGGTGATGAACTCCTTTAGCTTTTCCTTATCTGTGAAGCTCTTTATCTGACCTTCAATTCTGAATGATAGCTTTGCTGGATAAAGTAATCTTGGTTGTAGGTTCTTGGAATTCATCACTTTGAATATTTCTTGCCACTCCCTTCTGGCCTGCAAAGTTTCTGTTGAGAAATCAGCTGACAGTCGTATGGGTATTCCCTTGTAGGTAACTGAGTTTCTTTCTCTTGCTGCTTTTAAGATTCTCTCTTTGTCTTTTGCTCTTGGCATTTTAATTATGATGTGTCTTGGTGTGGTCCTCTTTGGATTCCTTTTGTTTGGGGTTCTCCACGCTTCTCGGACCTGTAAGTCCATTTCTTTCACCAGGTGGGGGAAGTTTTCTGTCATTATTTCTTCAAATAGGTTTTCAATATCTTGCTCTCTCTCATCTTCTGGCACCCCTATAATTCTGATGTTGGTACGCTTGAAGCTGTCCCAGAGGCTCCTTACACTATCCTCGCATTTTTGGATTCTTTTTTCATTTTGCTTTTCTGGTTGGGTGTTTTTTGCTTCTTCGCATTTCAAATCTTTGCCTTGATTCTTGCGCTCCTCTGGTCTGCTGTTGGGAGTCTGTATAGTATTCGTTATTTCAGTCTGTGTATGCTTAATTTCTAGTTGGTTCCCCAATATAACATCGAGGGTCTCATTAGTTTTCTTGTAGATCTCATTAAGTTTATCGGCGGCTTCTAAACAGTTCTTGAGAGACCTTAAAAGTGTGGTTCTGAATTCTATATCTTCCATTGACAATTTTGTCCTGTTTCTTTGTCTCCGCATTTTGTTATGCTTCCTTGGTGCACCCACTAGTGGTCTTTGTGCACAGTCTTATAGTTAAACCTTGATTGTTGTAGCTAATACCAGGGAGGGTTTGACCTCCAGGCCAAGTGGCTATGAGAATCAGCTGTGTCTGCAGTGAGAGAACTTCTGTCCTCTAGGGAGGTGCTAATTTGGCATTTGCCTGAGGCTATCCGGCAAATGCCTCTGTGCAGGGCTTGGGCGGGGCGGGTCGCACAGGATCAACAGGGTGGGCTGGAGAGAGCAGTTATGGCGGCTCTCAGTCCTGTCCCCAGGGGCTCTGCCTCTCTGAGTCCCAGCAACCTGCAAACCTCGGAGAGAAAGCTGCACTCGCTCTGACCGAAGCCAGACAGTCCCGCTTCTCCTGTTTGAGTCTGGGTCCCTAAAGACTCGCCTGTATCTGGAGCTCAGAGTCTGCAACTCCCTCCCGATTGAAAACGCCAACCGCGCCCTCCGCCGCCAGCCCGCTCCGCGCACTCCGCACCTCAGAATTTGACTTCAGCACTGCGCCTCCTCTGAGTGTCCGTATGCGTTTCTCTTTCCTCCTAGTTGTAGGACTTCCACTCAGCCAGCGTTCCTGTGGTTCTGGGTGATGTCCGTTCCGTTTTTTAGTTTCACTTTTGAAATAGTTGTTCAAGGCAGCAAACTCCGGTGTTAACCTATGCCGCCATCTTGGTTCTCCCTTTGAAAGGTTTTCTGTAATGATTTTTTTTAAAGAATATAACCATCTTTCTGAGACAGCCACAGTTATACCTACCATATGATTGTGCTATTTCAGGGCTAGATATTTACCCAAGGGAAATGAAAGCATATATCCATACAAAGACTTGTATACAAGTATAAATAGAAATTTCATATAATAGTAAAAAACTGAAGATAAAGCAAATGTCTGTCAACAAATAATGGATAAACAGAGTGTTATATATCTATAAAATGAATCGATATTCAATAAAAAAGAATGAACTATTGGTACATCCTACAACATGATAAATCTCAAAATACTTACGCTGAGTAAAAGAAGCCAGGCATAAAAGATTACATACTGTATGACTTAATTTTTATTTCTTTATTTTTAATATATATTTTTATTGATTTCAGAGTGGAAGGGAGAGGGAAAGAGAGATAGAAACATGAATGATGAGAGAGAATCACTGATCGGCTGCCTCCTGCATGCCCCACACTGCCTCTTGCATGCCCCACTTTGAGCCTGCAATCTGGGCATGTGCCCTGACCCGGAATTGAACAGTGACCTCCTGGTTCATAGGTTGATGCTCAACCACTGAGCCATGCCAGCTGGATCACTTTACTTTTTAAACAATCCTGTTCTCATTTCAAAAACTTTATAAAATCTTTTGCTTGCTCTATTTCTCTCTATCACTCATTAATACTCCCATTCATTTATATCTCATCTTGTTCCAACCCAACAAAGTGCTGGGTTGGGTACTAGGGATGGGCCTCAATTGAATGAATTACCAAATGTGGCTGGAATTTTATTGCCTGAGGATTAATTCCTTAGTTCAATCAGGTACAGATCTGTCCCTGAAGTAAGAATAGACTAAGCAATCTTTCAGATTATTTTCTTTTCAATAAATCTATTAAGTAATCCTAAGTGGTTGTTCTTAAAAATGAAAGAGGCAAGTAAATTAGATAGTGGATCTTGGCATTTGCAGTTACATATATGTCCTTTCCTTCTTTTCCCCTTAGTCCAACCCTAATCCAAGTCTTACTAATATGTGATAAAGACCTTGACTCTACAGGTTCCTGAATGGGTGGGGTGAGTCTGAATGATGCACACACGTAAGGCATGCCCAGGACATGCATGGGCATATCAGGAGGCACACCTATACCATCATTGGTAGATCTAGATTGGAATTCCTTTTCTCAGAACTGTTTTAATCACGCATTAGTTCTTTTAATAAAAGGAGCCTCTGGTTTTACCAGTTATATTTTGCTCACAATCCCAGTAGGCAAATAATTGTTTTAGTTTAAAATGTTTTTGTTCTCACGGTGAATGGGAGAGTCCCAAAATGATCAGGAATTTTTCTTTAGTATAATTCAGAAACAGAAACTCCCAGATCTGAAAGACCTTTAAAATAGAAATCAGAAGGTTCCAGTCTAGAATAGCACTTTACACATGAGCTTGAGCAATTTTTAAATTGTTAAAAAGTTAGAAAAATGAAGAAAGCTGGAGGAAATGAGTCCCTTAAGAGTAATGTTCATGTTTTATTACCTCTGTAATCATATTGCCAAGCAAAATAGGTAGACATCTGTTGGACATTTAAAATTCGGGGTGTGATTCACATTCTTTTCCTCTTACTCTGATACTAGGCCACCTCTTTCCTGTGGAGGAGTCATTGCATGTGGATCAGGTGAGACTTTCAATGTTCACTCACAGGTGACCAGGCCTGGCCATTAATTTCCCTGGGAACAGTGATTGGTCCAGAAATAGGCATAGGAACTAAGATGAGCCTATTATAGTTCTCCCCAAGGCTTCTCTTGCTTGTCAGAATGACTTTTCTGAGAAATAGACATAGCCTCTGATTGTAGGAGAAAAGATGAGGCCCTAAAGATGGTATGTGAGTCCCCCCAAATCCATCTGTGGCTGAAAGTAGCCATAACCTTTATTGGTTTGATTTCCAAGTAATACAATCATAATGATTGAATGAAACCCTTTAAAATAGATTTTTAAAATAATTATGAAGGTTGGCTCTCTTCCAACTCAAATGAAAACAAAATATGCTTTCAAGATTTCTTCTGTCTTTAGTTTTTAGGAGTTTGATTATGATGTGTCTCGGCATGTGTTTTGAGGGGTTTATTCTGTTTGGGGCTCAAGAGCTTCTTGAATCTGTGGGCTAATGTGTTATGTCAAATTTTGAAAAATGTCAGTCATTATTTTGTTGAACACTTTTTCAGTCTCATTCTGTTTCTCCTCTTTGGAAAGACTTGCTTTGGTCCCACAGGTCCCTGAGGTTCTGTTCATTCTTTTCTTCAGTCTATTTTCTTTTCGTAGTTCAAATTGGTAAGTTTTATTGATCTAACGTTAAACTCACTGATTTATTCTTCTACCGTCTTCAGGCTGCTTCTGAGCTCTTCCAGTGAGTTTTTATGTTTTATGGTGTTCTTTTGGCTCTTGTTTATAGTTTTTATTTCTTTGCTGAAACTTTCTATTTTTTCATGTGTTTAAAGCATATTAAAATTTTCCCTTTGAAGCATTTTTATAATGGGATTTTTACAGTCCTCGTCAGATAGTTCCAATGTCTGTGTCATCTTGGTCTTGCCATCTGTTGATTGTCTTTTCTCATCCTAGTTGAGGTTTTTTTCCTAATTCTTGGGGAAAATGACATTTTCAAAATTAGTTCCAGACATTCTGGTTATTATAAGACTGCGGCTCTTATTTAAATCTTCAGTTTTAGCAGGTTTCCTCTGACATCACAACGCTAGGGAAAGGGTGATGCTGCCTTGTCACTGCCAGTTGGGAGTGGAAGTCTAAAGTCTTCACATGGCCTCCACTGAAACTCTGGAGGATGGAGAGGTTTGTTGCTGCCTAATTAGGACAAAAGTCCTGGCTCCTCACTGGGCCTTCTCTGACATCACCCCAGTGTGGGGAAGGGCTGGGAGGAGAATCCCTATTCCAGCTGGATGAGGGCGGAAGTCTAGGCTCCTGACACAGACTCTGTTGACAGGGGTTGTTGGGGTGGGACCTCAGTTTTTCCTGTGGTGTTTGGCTGCAGTAGAGCCATTATTGTCTACAAATTTACAGTCCTGCTGGACTGTTCCTTTTCTATCCTTTGGCTAGAAAGAACCGGCATTTTTTGAGCTTTTTCTCTTCTTTCTTCTTCTTCTTCTTTTTTTTTTCTTTTGGTTTTGTTTATATCTGTTAGCATCTCTGCGTTGTTAGCTTCTCCAGCATCCAGTGGAGAATTTCAAGGAAAAAGAAAAGCCATTAAGCTCAAAACTCAATGCATGTCATTCCTTGGGTCATAAGGACCCTCACCATTCTGTTTTCTTTGCTCTACCTTTCAGAGTCTTTATATCTCTCTATATATACATACATACATACATACATACATACATACATACATATAAAACATCCAGGGCTTATAGTGGTACTTAGTGGAAGGAATAAGGAGGTCATGCTGGAGGTGACAGTTCGATTTCCAGTCAGGGCACATGCCCAGATTGTGGGCTTGATTCCCAGTGCAGGGCATGCAGGAGGTAGCCAATCAATGATTCTCTCTCATCATTGATGTTTCTATCTCTCTCTCCCTCTCCTTCCCTCTCTGAAATCAATAAAAACATATTTAAAGAAGAGTATTAGTATAGAGAAAATGGAACTTTAAAACTGTGTATCTATCATCACTACTCTTAAATGATCCATACTATAAAATCTTGGTTATTTTGTGTCAACTGAAGGCTCTTGAAAATGTTTGTTCAAACCATACAGCTCTTATAACCTACAAAGCAAAAGACAATAACAATTACAGCTATAATTTTTAAAACAACAGTATTTTCTCTTGTCCTTATAACACTAGAAACAGTATTCCTACAGCACTTTGTACTCTGCAACAAAGGAGTGTTAAAACCAACTTTAAATAATATAATATTTTTCTGTGTATTTCATCCAAGAAGTCAAACAACTTAAGGCATAGTTAAATAGATATCTCTAATTTATATAACTCTATATTTTCCAAATAAAGATACATCTTCTTGTTGTGTCCAAGAAATATTCACAAAATGTGATTTTTTAAAAGTTAATAAATTTAAAAAAAAGGAAAAATGTAGGCAAGAGTGGTTTTGTAACTAATGCAATTAAATAAGAAATTAGTAACAAAACAATACCAACAAATCAGAAACATATTTGGATCAAAGAGGAAATTGAAACTGAGATGTGAAAACACACAGTAACACATTTGAAATACATACAAAGCAGTGCTTGGAGGAAAATAAAGTCCTAATACTTATACTAATTAAAAAAACAAGACTGACAGTAAAAAAATTAAATGCTCAAATCAAGAAATTAGAAAAAATTCACAAGAAAAAGCACAGTGATAGAAAATTAGTGAATTAAAAAGATAAAAGCAGAAATTAAAAACTTTGAAGAGTGGCAGATCTGAGAAATAAATTCAAAACCTAAATCTTAAAGAAAGAAAACAAGATAAAGTGTTTAATTTAATTGAGCTTAAAAGAGTAAAATCGCCCTAACCGGTTTGGCTCAGTGGATAGAGCATCAGCCTGCGACTCAAGGGTCCTGGGTTCGATTCCAGTCAAGGGCTTGTACCTGGGTTGCGGGCACATCCCCAGTGGGGGGTGTGCAGGAGGCAGCTGATCGATGTTTCTCTCTCATCGATGTTTCTAACTCTCTATCCCTCTCCCTTCCTCTCTGTAAAAAAATCAATAAAATACATTTAAAAAAAAGAGTAAAATCATAAATACACAAAATAAGAATTTATATGAGGGAATTAAATTTAGATACAGGAGAAATTAAAAGATTCAGGAGAGGCTGCCATGTGTATCATGATAAATTTGGGAACCTGGTTCAAATGAGGGGTTACCAAAACTGACCTCCAAGTGCATAGAAAACATACAAATATGTGGTAAGATATTAAAGAGCTACTTCCTCAAAAGTATCTTAGCACAGTCATTTTCACTGAAAACTTCTACCAAATCCTTAAGAAATAAAGCCTTTGTGTCTGCTTCTATGTTCTAAAGCACGACGGGAAAAGACTTCTAAGCTTTTTATGAGTGAATGCAACAACAAAGATAATACCAAAAAATTAAACTATAGCACAATATCACTTATGAATATTTACATTAAAATGCCAGATAGCCTATTAGCCAACAGAATTAAGGCGTACATTGAAATGATAACACAACTTTACTAAGTGGGGTTCTCCGCGCTTCTTGGACCTGTAAGTCCATTTCTTTCACCAGGTGGGGGAAGTTTTCTGTCATTATTTCTTCAAATAGGTTTTCAATATCTTGCTCTCTCTCATCTTCTGGCACCCCTATAATTCTGATGTTGGTACGCTTGAAGCTGTCCCAGAGGCTCCTTACACTATCCTCGCATTTTTGGATTCTTTTTTCATTTTGCTTTTCCGGTTGGGTGTTTTTTGCTTCCTCGCATTTCAAATCATTGACTTGATTCTTGCGCTCCTCTGGTCTGCTGTCGGGAGTCTGTATAATATTCGTTATTTCAGTCCGTGTATGCTTAATTTCTAGTTGGTTCCCCAGTATAACATCGAGGGTCTCATTAGTTTTCTTGTAGATCTCATTAAGTTTATCGGCGGCTTCTAAACAGTTCTTGAGAGACCTTAAAAGTGTGGTTCTGAACTCTATATCTTCCATTGACAATTTTGTCCTCTTTCTTTGTCTCCGCATTTTGTTATGCTTCCTTGGTGCACCCCCTAGTGGTCTTTGTGTGCAGTCTTATAGTTAAACCTTGATTGTTGTAGCTAATACCAGGGAGGGTTTGACCTCCAGGCCAAGTGGCTATGAGAATCAGCTGTGTCTGCAGTGAGAGAACTTCTGTCCTCTAGGGAGGTGCTAATCTGGCATTTGCCTGAGGCTATCCGGCAAATGCCTCTGTGCAGGGCTTGGGCGGGGCAGGTCGCACAGGATCAACAGGGTGGGCCAGAGAGAGCAGTTATGGCGGCTCTCAGCCCTGTCCCCCGGGGCTCTGCCTCTCTGAGTCCCAGCACCCGCTGCAAAGCTCAGAGAGAAAGCTGCAGTCGCTCTGACCGAAGCCAGACAGTCCCGCTTCTCCCGTTTGAGTCTGGGTCCCTAAAGACTCGCCTGTATCTGGAGCTCAGAGTCTGCAACTCCCTCCCGATTGAAAATGCCAACCGCGCCCTCCGCCGCCAGCCCGCTCCGCGCACTCTGCACCTCAGAATTTGACTTCAGCACTGCGCCTCCTCTGAGTGTCCGTATGCATTTCTCTTTCCTCCTAGTTGTAGGACTTCCACTCAGCCAGCGTTCCTGTGGTTCTGGGTGATGTCCGTTCCGTTTTTTAGTTTCACTTTTGAAGTAGTTGTTCAAGGCAGCAAACTCCAGCGTTAACCTATGCCGCCATCTTGGTTCTCTCCCTCCTAAGTGGTATTTACTTCAAGAATGCCAGGATTGTTCAATAATTCACCACTTACTAGAGAATAAGTAAGATAATCATCTCCACAAGGGCTGAAAAGAATTTGATGAAATCTAACATTCATTTTATATAATAGCTATTAATAAAATAAAAATAATAAGGTGGATTATTCAATACACTTCTATTGAGATAACTGGCTAGCCATCTATAAAAAAAGGGAACTGGATTACTGCTTCTCCTTTTACACCAAAACAAATTACAGATGCATTCGATTAAGTGGAGGGAGGA